GGGAAGGGCAGAATAAGCTTGCAGTTTGTCTAGGTCTAGGACACCTGAATATATGGCACAGTGAGGAAGTGCTCTGTTTTGATCATCATACATTAATCATTTTAAAAATAGGCTTAGAAGTACAGTTACATAAAAGCATTACTGAATCATTGTAGATGAGATTTGAAATTCAAGGAAATGACTGATGATTGGCCTAAATTTAGCCTAATAAATATGTAAATTATGAGGTAATCAGTCAGTTTTAATATTTTTATTACTGTTCTTCAGGTTGCAAAATGTGCACATCCCAGTAATGATCACTGTGTATCACTATAGAAAACAAGCCATGTACAAGAGAAATTAACACTCATGTTCCCTAAATTGACTATAGGTTGAATCTCCCAAATCTGGGACTCCTGGTCCAGCAACATCCGTGGTCCGGCAGCCTAGGCAGCCCCGGCCAGGAATCTTGGCAAACCCCTGGTGGCAGCAGGGCCGGGTTGACTAGGCAGCCTCTGCTGGGTAACCCCCTGGCTGAAGCAGGGCTGGCAGAGGGGGGGAGGGGGGCAGCTGGAGTCCCCAGCAGCAGCAGAGCTAGCCCTAGCAGTGGTGTGGGATGGCTGGGCACCCCGGCTGGAGAACCCCCTGCAGCTGCAAGGCTGGTTGTGCCGGGTGGCTGCAGCTGGGCACCCCGGAGAACACCCTAAGGCAGCTGGGATACCAGCGACCAAGCAGTCCCCGCCTGGGACAGCAGGCAGGCAGCAAAGTGGGGAGCCATGCTGGGCTAGAGTTATGACTAGTGACAAGGACAGGCAGCCCCAATGAGAGTGGCTCAGGAGCAGGACAGCTAGCACAGATGCACTGACCTCCCTCGGTTCAACAAACTCCCTGGTCCAAGACTGCCCAGGTCCTGAAGGTGCTGGACCAGGGAGGTCCAACCTGTAGTTTGGTAACATCTGCCGATAATATTTTTTATCTCAACACTTCTTCTGATGAACACACATTTGTTTTTGTACTGTTTTTTTTTCAACATATACATGTAGTGAACAATTATATCTAATAGTAAATTCCCCTTTTCTGTGAATTGCTGCCAACTAAAATACCTTTTCTTCAAACAAAATGTTTTTGTCTTGTAGTTGGTTTATTAGTATTAGCCTATTTAAGTACTAGTCTTGGCAGTAACTGGAGAAGACTTCTTTTTGCTTTCTGTTTTCATGTTGTTAATATGACCGTTACATCCTTTGGAATAAAAGTACAAATTGCACCTCCTCTTATTTTGATGAAAACTAGAGTAGGAATTTAAATCCACGACAGGATTTAAGGATATTCACAAATATCAAAGATTATTTACCTTTGAAAAATATATTCACTTCCCCCTTCAATTAAAAGATTAGAGTGGAAGTGCTTACCTTTATCATAAAAATACCTAGGAGGAGGCAGGACATTTGTGTCCTTACAGTGAGTCTAGTGGTGAAGACCTGTAACATGGGGGACCACTCCAAGATTTTGGCAAGTGGTTAAGGGCCGCACTTCTGTGGAGAGGGTATGGGGTCTGAGACAGATGTTGAGTGCAGAAGAGAGCTTGGGGGAATGGACTGGGGTGCAGGAGGAGGTGTGGGGTATGAGAGGGAGTCTGCGTAAAGGAAGAGGCTGTGATCTGGGCCAGGAGCTTGGGATTCTGGCCTATGGGAGGGTTGTAGGAGGAGATGCAGATTCTGGGAGGGAGTTGTGACCCGGGAAAAGAGGGTTTGAGTGGTGGCCTGTGGCATGTATCTGGGGGGAGGAGGAGGATTCCAGAGGCAGGCTCTGGTTGGGAAGCGCTTACCTAGGTGGCTCCCAGCCAGCCACCCTGCAGAAACCTGAGGCAGGCTGTCTACTGCAGTCTGAGGCTGCTAGCTGCTCCATGTAGCTCTGCTCCAGTCATGGAAGGCAGGGAGCGAGGCTTCCCACACTGTCCCCTGCCCCCCAGCAAAATTTCTCAGTTTCATTTGGCTGGAAACTGGCCTATAGCAGCTGAGAGATTTTGCTGGTGGCCAAGGGTAGGGTGCAAAGACTCCCTCCTTACTCTCCGCCATCCAGAGTGGAGAGCAGCTGGCTGTTTAAAGTCTGAGCTGTTCTCTACCTAAAGGTTCCAGTGAGGTGATCATGGGGCGGTTCTGTGGCTTGGCAGGCCGGATTTGGCCCGCCAGAGGCTTCTTGCCCATCCCTGTTCTAAAGCTTTGCTTTTATAGTCTAATTCTACTGAAAATAGACAGAATGAAAAAAAATCTGGGTTCATCTCTAGATCCAGATTCAATCCCCCCATGTTTATAAAAATATTCAAATCTCAGGTTTTAGATTAAAGGTCTCACTTTTTTAAAAAAATAAAGAAATAAAACGCTCAATGCAACCATTGTATTATCAGCTATTTAAACAATATCTTATACATATTTAAAGCATTGAATGCCTGTTTCTCTTGACTGAAAGTATGTAATTCCTGATCATTAGTTTCTTATGCCAGTGTTTTATAAAGTCGCAGGTCTCAGCTCATAAAAGTTTACTTATGTTGTTTAGTTTTATATATTTAATACTGTAAGAAAAGGGGCTGATTTTTAAAAGTTAGGCACAAGTTGATATTAAACAGTTGATGAAATGTAGTGTAGAATCTTTAGCCACGCCCTTAGAGGATGTCAGAGAGTTCAGTCAAGCTGCTGGACATTCTTCGGTGGTCATTTTCAGCTAATGTTGGCTTGCCAATTAAGGAGGCCCTATTAAACGCTAGCAAAATTATCTAGCAAACTCTGGTAGTCATACTATGACCATGGAAGCATGCCTGTAAAATAATATTACATCCCAGTCAAGGGCCCTGAGTTTTTATGTTCCTGCCCTGAACTATCTTTCATGCTATGGAAGTGATGAATGAACATAGCAAACAGCAGCACATAAAATACATGCCTTAACAGAAAGATCAGAAATACCTTGACAAAGAATGCTGCCTTCCATACCCTAAGTGTCAGGAGGATGTGGGCCCTTTTATTTAGACAGAAGCAGACCATTTAGAAAATTTCCAGACTGTCATGTCAATTGTTAAGAGATCCAAAGGGTTCACAATCTCCACCCAAACACTCTCGAGTGTTTGTCTCTGGTTGTATTAGTTTTTGTTATCATAGAGCATTAGCCTATTCCACAAGGGTGTTCTCTTTGAAATTACTCAGAAACATGCCCATTGTTGGGATCCGCAAAGCTGCAGCATTGTTTTGGTAGTTAATTCTTCCAGCTGTTGTTTTTGGGAAAGTAGTCTTGTCGTCAATGTTGGACTTGACTCTGAAGCTTCCTCCTCCAGTTTAAGATATTGCTCAGAAGGCCCCTGAAGTAGAGCATCCATAGAAACACTACTCGACAAAGAGAGATTATTCACCTGGTGCAGTAACTTGAGTTCTTCAAGTTGTATTCCTATGGATGTTTTTCTGCTCTCCATCCCCTCTTCCCCCAAATTTCTTCTATGGGACATTGTAGTGGAAATTGAACTGAGGGCAGTTTACTAGTGCAGACCTGTTTGGAGTCTGTGCAGAGCATAGGAATGTGTAGAGTGCTTGTGCAGGGTGAAAAGGCAATACTAGTTTAAAAAAAAAATCTCTAGTCAAAGCACATATGAGCTGGAGTGCCCATAGTGGGACATATCTCAATCTCTAGTTTCTGCATAAGGTGAGTAACTTTTCCTTAACTATCCATCTTGCTGGCCATTTGCGCACCCCGTGACCTTCAGTTTATACATGGAGTTGTGATTGAAAACACAAGCGCACAGTTGTATATACAGTTCTATAGTTGACTCTGAAAATCATTCTCAGAAAGGCCAACATTTTCAAACTTAACTGTCTTAACTCCAGTTATCTGAAGAAGTGGGCTGTGCCCATAAAAGCTCTTGATACCGTCTATATGTTTTGTTAGTCTATAAAGTGCTACCAGACCATTTGTTGTTTTTTAAATTTGTCTTAACTTAGTTACCTATATCCATATTTAGACACCTGAAGCAATTGCTTGATTTTCATAGGTATAGCATACCTTCAGCTCACTTTGACTTGTGTGGAATTCATGGATATGCAGTACCTATGAAAAACAGCCAACTGTTTCAGGTGTCTGAATGTAAATTTAGGTTCCTTACTTTATGTTCCCGTATTTGAAAATATTCACCAGAGTACTTGCAATACCATAATGCAGTGATCCCAAAAGAGAGACCAAAATACTAATTATGTGTGTTTTGCCCAGTTTGTTCCAGAACCAATCTCCAAAGCAGCTATTTGAATCAGACCTCCCTTCAGGGGGAGGGATAGCTCAGTGGTTTGAGCATTGGCCTGCTAAACCCAGCATTGTGAGTTCAATCCTTGAGGAGGCCATTTAGGGATCTAGTACAAAAAATCTGTTAGGGATGGTACTTGGTCCTGCTGTGAAGGCAGGGGACTGGACTTGATGACCTTTCAAGGTCCCTTCCAGTTCTAGGAGATAGGCATCTCCATTCATTTCAGGTGCTGCTTTACTGGCCTGTCAGAGGTTCCATTTTTGGCAATAATGGGAAGGACAACTCAGCGCTAAAATGCTTAATTTTTGCAGGATTTAAAACTGTCTAAATCTACACACACACACTCTTTGGGCTCTTAGTATAGGAGTCAAGGACTTGGAGTGGAGAGTTGGTTTTTCTGTCTTGACACAAAATCTGTCTAAAAGTGGCATATAATCCAGATTGAAAGCAGTTCCATTTATAGACCAGAGAAACCCAGACTTCCAAGATGCATGGTTTACTTGCTGTCGTGGATTCCGATCAATTTGCTATTTCCACAAAATCTTATGAAGATCTCACTCATCTAATATTGTAAAGGTTCCATAAGTGAATCCTTAAGACGGAGAGATTCAGCCATATAGTTTCTCTGAATGTGTATCAGTCGGGAGCTATGTGCTGTAAAATAATTTCTGGAGCAGATAAACTCCTTTGCTGTCTGCACTTCTGTTATTGTTAGACCTGTATTTGTGTTTCTTGTCATCTTCAGATTTGCCAGACCAAGTTCTGAGGGTTTTCAAGGCAGATCAACAAAGTCGTTATATTATGATCAGTAAGGACACAACAGCGAAGGAAGTTGTCATTCAGGCAATCAGAGAGTTTGCTGTAACTGCTACTCCCGATGCATACTCTTTGTGTGAAGTGTCTGTCACTCCAGAGGGAGTAATCAAGCAAAGGAGGCTTCCAGATCAATTATCCAAGCTTGCTGATAGGATACAGTTAAGTGGCAGGTGAGACTATGGTTTATATTATGTCAGTTTAATAAAAATTCTGATGCATTTGGGCATCTTGTGTCAAAGTTAATTTTATTTCACTGTAACTGCAAAATAACTTCAAAGTTACTTTTTAAGCTAGTTAGAGCATATTCACTAATTATATTCTAATTGTTCTATAGTATATGATGATAGCTATAAATTTTATTCTGGTATTCAATTTTTATAGGTATTACTTGAAAAACAACATGGAGACAGAAACATTGTGTTCAGATGAAGATGCTCAGGAATTATTGCGGGAAAGTCAAATTTCCCTGCTGCAGCTTAGTACTATTGAGATGGCTGCGCAGCTTTCCATGAGAAACTTTGAGCTCTTTCGTAATATTGAACCCACAGAGTACATAGATGACCTGTTTAAACTCAAATCTAAAACCAGTTGTGCTAACTTGAAAAAGTTTGAAGAAGTGATAAACCAAGAAACATTTTGGGTAGCTTCTGAGATTCTAAGGGAAACCAACCAGCTAAAAAGAATGAAGATTATTAAACATTTCATTAAGATAGCACTACACTGCAGAGAATGCAAGAACTTCAACTCCATGTTTGCAATTATCAGGTAAATGGTGTGTGTGTGTGTGTGTGTGTGTGTGTGTGTGTGTATTAAATGGTGAATTCAGTTCAAGTTAGTAGTAATGTGACAGATTGAATAGAAATGTGCATTAAACATAAAAAGGAGATGACTAATACATCAGCTTTGGACACTCCTAAAAAAGATAAGAAGAGATCCACTGCACCCCCCAAGATTCTTATATCCTGATATTAAAATGTTTATTGAAATAATCTTTGAAACTCTTTTAGGGATTTTAACATGTGGTTAATTGGCTAATCGAGTAGTCGATAAGGGACAGCAGCCCAGCTCAGTCCTGGTTTGCGCTGAGTCCAGGACATATCCATGCTGGAGTTATGCAGTGTAAATGTACTGAGAGCCAGGCAGGGTTGCAGTACAGATTGCGTCGAGAACCTACTCCCGATGTAGCTCTGCAGTTTAAATGTACTACATTTTTTACTACTTTAAACTTCAGAGCTGCAGCGGGGATAGGTTCTGGAACTGGTGCAAGCCGAGACTGAGCCGAGCTGCCTGCCCTCTGGAGCAGCTGCTGTCTGCAGCCAGTTCACGTGCCGCAGACAGAGGCTGCTTTGTGGCAGCAGTCCTGTCCATGGGGGGCCCCAGTAGCACCATGTAGATGGCAGCAGCACGGGGGGCTGGAGGTGGGGGGGGGGGCAGGCGACACCACGGATGGTGCTGGAGGGAATCAGCTTTTAAGATGATTCTACCAGCTCCTGCTCCACCTTCCCCTTGCTGCCTCTGGGAAGCGAGTAATTGATTACATTAATTACACCCCTACCACCTTTATAAAAACTGAGGCTAGCAGAATTGGGGAATGCAGAAGTTGTGGAGCAAAGAAGAAAAGCCAGAATTTTGAGAAGGAAGGCAGAGTCACATTTAGAAGAAAAATTCAAAGGATGCTCAAAGAGTGAGAATAAATCCAGCAGCTGTATGGAGGAGAGTTATTAAAAAGATTATATATCCCCTAGTTCTACTATTTTAGTTTTGGCTAGGGGAAGGGTAATAGGTGACAGTGGAGAGTGAAAAGAATTTGCAATTATAAGAAAGCAGGTGGTTTTGTGGGGATTTTTGTCTTGATGCTTGATCCTTACAAGATACTGAATGCATCTTGTGAAGTGCTATTTGACTTCAATCACTGTTTTCTTGTGGGAGTTAAGGATGTGCGATACCTCACAAAAGGTGCTGTGTACCCTGCATTTGTGTATATTATTGATTGCAGTTTTGTACTATTAGCAGCTTAAGCTGTTGACCAAAAAAAAAAAAAAATTTGTTCCTAGTGGGAGAATGTATAATACTCTACACTAAGTGGAGCTGAAGAGAGCAACAGAAGCAATAAGACACACCAGAACAGAGGCCCCAGCTAGAAATTTTTTTGTCAGTCTTGAAGCATTTAAAACGAGTGATTTAACTCCACCATGTCAGCTGATTTTAACTGCTTCCTGTCAGCCTGTCAGTTAACTACGACTTGAACAGTAGCTGGAATTATAGATGATATCAATACTTCCTTTGCAGCCAGAAGTGAACAGCTAGTCAGGTTCACTGGTGTAAAATGTTCCTTTTCCCAACACAAAGGGAGTAAACCACAAGTTTTTACAGCTTCTGTATTTCCTTAAGTATATAGCCTATTTTAGCAATTCCATCTGGAGGCGACAAGGCACATGCATTGTGCCGTTGCACTATCATCAGGTATAGATTTAGAGAAAGGATCGCTGGTTACTAATAGTCTGGGAATCCAGGAGCGACTTTGGATCCATAATTACATTACCACATAGCTACGTCTACACTGGCCCCTTTTCCTGAAGGGGCATGTTAATTTCAGAGATCGCAATAGGGAAATGCGCGGGGGATTTAAATATCCCCCGCGGCATTTAAATAAAAATGTCCGCCGCTTTTTTCCGGCTTTTCTAAAAAGCGGCGGGCATTTTTATTTAAATGCCGCGGGGGATATTTAAATCCCCCGCGCATTTCCCTATTGCGATCTCTGAAATTAACATGCCCCTTCAGGAAAAGGGGCCAGTGTAGACGCTCTTTTCCGGCTTTTCTAAAAAGCGGCGGGCATTTTTATTTAAATGCCGCGGGGGATATTTAAATCCCCCGCGCATTTCCCTATTGCGATTTCAAAAATTACCATGCCCCTTCCGGAAAAGGGGCCAATGTAGACGAGCCCCATGAGTTTACAGGAGAAGTTTACAGATTATAAACTTCCATAGTAAAGTGTAGATAAGAGGAGGTAGATACCAATTCTGTTTATAATCCTTAATTGCTTCCCTTAGTTCATAGGCATTACCTGTTTTATCAGAGTATATTGTGTCGTCTATATTTCATCAGTTATTATTGCTAATATAAAATCTATACCTAAAATATACATTTTCATAACAGATGTATGGATTTTATAATGTACCTTTTCAAATGGCAATTTTTGCTTACCAGTATTTGCACTTGTTTGTTATATTGCTGTACTTCAGCAATTTGCCTGATTCATCTGCTACACAAAATTGTATAATGTGTTATATTTAGGGTCTGATGGGTTTTTTTTCTGTGAAGTTTGCATAGTCTTTATTTAATTGGACAAACAAAACAAAATCCTTATGAACCATTTTCAGTGGCCTGAATTTGGCACCGGTTGCAAGGCTCCGCACTACTTGGGAAAAACTTCCAAGCAAATACGAGAAGCTGTTTCAAGATCTACAAGACTTGTTTGATCCATCTAGGAACATGGCAAAATATCGTAATGTCCTGAACAGCCAAAACCTACAGCCTCCCATTATTCCACTCTTCCCTGTTATCAAAAAGGACCTTACGTTTCTTCATGAAGGTAAATGCAAAATAGCATGGTTCTTTATCTCTGCATAAAATGGATATTTCAGGCTGGTAATTGATTTACTTGTCTTGTTACTAAATATAGGAAATGACTCAAAAGTGGAAGGCTTGGTCAATTTTGAGAAGCTGAGAATGATTGCAAAAGAAATTCGCCATGTTGGTCGAATGGCTTCTGTGAACATAGATCCTGCTGTAATGTTCAGAACTAGGTAAGTTTGTCTTCAACAGACCTTCAGTTAACTGAGACAAAAAGTTGAGTATCAGTAGTAAAGTAAGTATTTCTCTAGTGCCCTCCACAGCCCTTACAAAAGAAACATTGCAAATTAAATAATGAAAGATGAGTCTTCACTTAACGCATGTGGGGCCTCGGTCATATCCTTTCATATGAATGGAGCGCTCACAGAAATCAATGGAGGTTTTCAGTTACAAGATTGGACTGTTTAATTTCTGTATCGCTGGTTGTATTACAGCATTATAGAGGTATGATGACTTGCTCACTACCATGTGACACTTTTAGGTAATCACAGTTCTGTATCGAATCCACATTTTAAAACCAGTTTTTAAAAGGAATCATAGAATACTAGGACTGGAAGGGACCTCTAGAGGTCATCGAGTCCAGTCCCCTGCCCCCATGGCAGGACCAAATACTGTCTAGACCATCCCTGATAGATATTTATCTAACCTACTATTAGATATCTCCAGAGAAAGGAATTATAGATCTTACTATGGATGGAACAGTGTTTTATATTCTTTTGCTGACACAACTTTGCCCAGTTCCATGATGAAAGCCCATCAATTCATAGTCTAAATAAAGATAACCTGTTTGAATATATACTGTACTAGTTTATTGCATGAAATATTGAGCATAGGGCCATCTAAATTTTTCACAATTTACTACAAATAGGAATAATTGAACTTGAGCATAAATCAGTAGTGCAGGAGAATGTGAAGTGATAGGTTTTGAGTAGCAACAGTTTAATGCGCTCAATTTGAACGGGAAGAGTTTTTAATTTCAGATTGTGCGACTGAGATAAGACTCTTAAAGTTTGTGGGCTTCTAGTACTGCTTGTCCTGAGATCTGGTCTTTTCTTTCTGAGCTTGTGATCTTTCTCTGTCTCTTCCTAAACCCATGCTTCACTCTTCGTGGCTCTCACTTGCAGGAAGAAGAAATGGAGGAGTTTGGGGTAAGTGGTTGGAGATAACACACACAGACAATCCATTCGTTTCTGACCATTTGCATTGTTTTTCTACTTGCTATCTTTAATTTTCTGATGCTTTGACATTTTTCTTTTAACCCTTTTGTACTTACAATAAATTGACTCTAATGGTGCTTTTGCTTTTGAAGTAAAAACCACAAGAGCTGTGAAACTATTAACAGATATTTTTGAGTGTGATATGGGGAAGGGCTGTGTATTTAGTATATTCATGAATTGACTTTAATATAACCAGTTTGGCTCATAATATACAAGAAATTCCAAAATAGAATGGTAATAGATGTACAACTAAAATTTACAACTATTTTACCTATGCCTGATAAATGAGTGAGGAAGAAATCCACCAATGTGAAAAATTGAAGGATCATGTTTTTTACAGCTCAACTTACTATATTTTCACTCTACAATCCAGACTCCATTTTTTACTCTTAACAAATCAGAAGCCACTCAGATAGCTTCCATATTTACATACACCAATTGAAATGCATGATATTTATTTCTTCATTAACTAATTGATCATTTGTTTAACAAAAAGCTCATCATACTCAAGTGAGAGAATAAAAAAAGCATTTTTCCTCATTATGAAATTTAAGTTTTTATAAAACCAAATTGACTATGTTGAAGACTTTCTAGATAATATGTATTTACATTTGAGGCTCAGCTACAGTTGTCTGTCAGTGTTGCCTTGCTGCATGAGCTTTTCTTAATGCTCCAACCTTCTCAGTAGTTGACTTACATGAGAGAGCTAGCTTGAATGCTTTTCTAGATGCGTGAAGGGACATTGCCTAGTTGGAGAAAAATAGGTTCCAGGGACTTATTTTATTTTAATTATACAAAAATTATTTTTTAACCAAGTAAAAAGATTTCTTGATCCTCATCTTCTGTCTATTATACCTGTTTGACTTACTGGAATGAGGCATGTAAGCTTTGACCATAGACTGACATTCATGCAACTTTTGCATGTTTCCTCTTTATGAAGTGATACTGTGCTGGACTAAGTTATATTTTTCCTTTCTCACTTCACTTCAGGTCTCTCAGTCAGGGCAGTACAAATGCAGCAGTGCTAGATGTTGCACAAACAGGAGGACACAAAAAGCGGGTTCGTCGCAGTTCCTTTCTCAATGCCAAAAAACTGTATGAAGATGCTCAGATGGCACGAAAAGTGAAGCAGTACCTCTCTAACTTGGACCTGGAAATGGATGAAGAGAGCCTCCAGACTCTGTCTCTGCAGTGTGAGCCAGCTACCAACACATGTGAGTGCTTTCAATAAGTATGATAGATAACCACTTACATCTTCATGTAATTTAACTCCTGGGCTATATATAGAAAAACAATAGCCATAATAATTTGTGGATGCTGAAAAGCTGTGATTTCCAAGAATGAAGTCATCCATTAGATATACAATATGGACAGGTTTTATAAAGTTTGCACAGAAAGATGCATCTCTTGGGCTCCGTGGGAAATACACAAGAAATTCCTGAGATTCTCCTGCAAAAGCAGATGGGGGGGAGAACCTCTCATCTTACCTACAGCTGCTACTGCAATCAGAGGGCTTTCTCATCTTAGGTAGATAGAAAATGATTCCTCCACCTCCCTCCAACTAAACCCTACTGTTCCAGGCCAAGATCCTCAAGCTCAGCAGAGGAGAGAGATTAATTTGCTTATGGATTTTTTTGTGTGTGATCTAATATCTACAAAAGAGAAAAGTTTAATTTCTTCTATTGTGTAAACAGCACTTAGAATTGTGTGCCATTAGGGATGGTGAGGAAGGGTCCCAAGGTTTGTGACATATTTGGACTCAAATGGCTGCCTACTGACTGGTCAGTCCCAACCCATCTGAGAAGATAGCATCACTGGCAAGATGCTTTCTGCACTCCCTTTCAGCCAGGATCAGGGAGCTATTCAGACAACATGGTGATGGTGGCATTATAAAAATCTAAATTGCTGGATGAAAGTGAGTCACCAGGAAGTTGTCATAGTGACACAGGTGTTTGGGATGGACAACCCTGATAATGTCACACTCAATGCAGACTGCAAGAAACCTAGTAGACATTCCCCTCCCAAGCTGGTGGTTCAGTCTGTAGAATCATACTGGTTCAAACCAGTAGAATCACACTGTTTAACAAGAAGCCAAATGCTGCCCCCCTTACGCGTTCCAGGCCTTGGTTACCATCCAAACAGATAAGTTTAATACGGTGAGAGGTTAATGAAACCCCAGATCACCAAATGTGGGGTTGTTACTAATCCCAATGGATAAGACATGTTTCCCCAAGTCAATATATATCTCAGATCTTACCCAACTATCATGTCCGCCAATCCTGAGTGAATTAACTAAGAATGTATTAAGAAAAGAATTGTTATAAATGGTTAAAAGATCCTATACATACAAATAATTGTGAGATCGTTAGATCAGGTTTGTAGCAGTAATGGAATAGTCTGCTGGTTTCCAAAAGTTTCTCTGGTAACATCTAAGATTGGAAGGTTCTTAGTCCAAAATACCCCTAGTTGTAAATCCACAGTCTAGACATTTAGAGCAGGCACACGGCAAAATGGAGATGTCATGTGTCTTTTATATCCTCTTCAGTGTTCATGGAAATTTACTGTTGCAAATAAAACCCACAGCCTCTGTATGGAAAGTTACTGACAAAGATGGAGTCAGAGGTCACAAGTCCACACCACATGCCCTTAGATGTTTTGCTGAATCATAGGAGTGGCTCTTTGGTGTCTGAGACATCCAGTTTGAACAGTCGTTTCACAGTGGGCTGGTGAGACTGGATATAAACTACCTTGTAGGTGTCACTCCAAGAACAAATACATTTGAGAAAAGAAATACATAGCCAGCATATGTAATAGCAGATAAGAACCAATGGTTTATTAGCTCATTATCCTCTCTTTGGATGGTGCTTCAGAGGAAAGTAACAGAACAGCGACAATCATCAGGTGATCCATTCCCCATTACCCAGTCCTAACTTCTGGCACACTGAGGCTAGGGATACTTCAAAGCCTGGTTTTGTATCCCTATTCATCCTGGCTAATAAAAAAAAAGTTGAAAAAATGAGTCGTAGCACCTTAGAGACTAACAAAAAAATATATAGATTGTATGATGAGCTTTTGTGGGCACAATGCACTTATTTGTCATATGAAGAGGTGGGCTGTGCCCACTAAAGCTCATGATACTATCTGTTTTTTTAGTCTCTAAGGTGCTCAGGACCACTTGTTTTTTAAGCTTTGAAGTAACAGACTAACACAGCTTCTCCTTTAAGACATCCTGGCTAATGGCACTGATGGACATATCCTTCATGAACTTATCAGTTCTTTTTTTTTAACTTTGTTGTATTCTTGACCTTCACAACATCCTCTGGCAAATGATTACACACCGTGAGTGTGTGTTGTGTGAAGAAAGACTTCCTTTGTTTGTTTTGCTTCCTTTTGTTTGTGCTCCCTGTCCAAACATCACATGATCTCTTAAGAGGGCTACAGTTTCATTCTAGAGTTGAGGAAGCTAAATTAGTAGCTATATTCCAAGAATGCATTAAAGGGGTTTTCATTCTGTCCTTCTCTGCCAATGAAACTCATCCAAGATTCACCAGTACAGCCTGAGAAGTCTCTTTCAACCAACTACAGATTCAGGTGCCCTGGTTCCAGGCCAAATTGAAACTCCACATAAATCATGGATCTCAGGATCATTAGAACGACTTGTAAACCACTTCTATCTATCCTGCAAAACTCCATTGTGCAAATCTTGTCTCACAGTACAGCTGTAGTGCACTGTCTAAACATACAGGAAAGACTTAGTTAATCATCCCTTTGCCAAAAAGCCATCCAGTAATGGACATAGTACTGTCAACACTGGATTGGAACCTTCCAGGAGTCAGCAACAACCAAACCAAACCAACTTCTTAAGCATACACAAAGTAAGGAGCCATGAGTAGTTCTTCGAGTGATTGCTCATTGCTTTCCAATATAGGTGTGTGCGCGCATTGTGCAAGTGCCATCGGAAGTTTTTCCCTCAGCAGTACCCTTAGGGCCTGCAGGGAGCCCCCCTGGAGTGGCGCCAGTATACTGGCCCATATCTACGCCTGCTGTGGCCACCTCACCCACTGAGTTCCTTCTTACCATCTTCAGCATAGTGTCTGCAATTTAAGTTAAAGACTTTTTTGTTGTTTCTGTTGATTGCTCCCCGCCGCGGCGCACCGTGTGCCCACAGCAAGACATGCCTGGCCTGCAAGGTTTTAAGCCCTGCAAAAAGTGCAATAGGCCTATGCCATGCAGTGACCCACACTCATCGTGCTTAAAATGTCTGGGAGAAGCACAAGTTACAGAAGCCTGTAAAATCTGTAAGGCCTTCAAGCCCAAGACAAAACGTGAGAAGGAGTCACACCTTAAGATCCTCCTCCTGGAAGCAGCTCTGACCGGTACCAGCACCGGACTTCGCACTGGCCTCCCGGAGTGCACCGGCTTCGGTGCACAATGGTTCTGGCCCAAATTTGGGGGTTCAAGCGGAGAAGGTTTCCAATAACTCGGATCCTACTGTAGACATTCTGCATGCCAACACCCCCTCTGGCTCCAGGGTTCTGGGGTGCTGTTGGAGCTCCAAAATACCATTCAGGACTCCCCTTTCGAGGGCCCCTCACTCTTTTCAGAGCAGACCGACCAGAGGCTTCATGGCCTCAAGGATACCAGGGCGACGTTAAAGTCCTTGGGCCTGTACACTCCTACCCAGAGGCGTACCTACTCAAATAGGAATGTTCCTAGAGTGCTTCCCCAGGGCCCACGCTCCGACTTCGCTTGCTGTAGGAGCAGGAGTGGCAATGGCAGGAACGACAGGTGCCAGCCTTGCCTATCCCCCAATAATAACCAGGAGCCCCCTAACAATCCCCCGGGACTCCGTCAGGGTTTTTGATGGGACCCTCAAGGGCATCTTACCAGTCTCCCCTCTACTTTTTTGGGACCATTTATCCCATTTCCTCCAGCCCTGGCGGTCTGTTACATCGGACCAATGGGTGCTGGAGATAGTGGGAAGGGGTTATATAATCCCTTTCCACATGTCCCTTGCCTTCCCAGCCCCCTACTCCATCCCTTTTCAGAGACCCCTCTCACGAGCCTCTGCTACAGGAAGAAGTAAATCATCTCCTCACGCTAGGGGTGGTGGAATGCATTACCCCTGAGTTTCGGAACAGGGGATTTTATTCCCCTTATTTTCTGGTTCCAAAGGCAAAAGGGGGGCCTTCATCCCATTCTGGACGTCAAAGCTCTAAATTCCTTCATCATCAAGACAAAATTCAAAATGGTGACTCTACATTATCCCTTCATTATCCTACATTATCCATAACCCTACATTATCCCTTCCTTAGCCCCCGGACACTGGTACGCTGCCCTCAACTTAAAACACGCTTATTTTCACATTTCAATTACGTCCCGCCATTGAAGGTTCCTACAGTTTACTGTGGGCCCAGACCATTATCAATTCATGCCCCCCCCCTTTGGTATTTCTATGGCCCCTCAGGTCTTCACCAAATGTATGGCAGGGGAGGCTGCCAAACTCAGGAAAAGGGGTTTCCAGGTGTTCCACTACCTAGACGATTGGCTCCTGAGGGGGCAGTCAGAGACTCAGGTGGGAGCCCACATCACCACAGCCCTCAAACTCTTTGAAATCTGAGGCCTTTTGTTGAATCTGGACAAATCCACCCTGACTCCTACCCAGACAATAGAGTTTGTCGGTGCTACCCTTAGATTCCCTGGCACAGAGAGCCTCTCTGCCCAGCTCCCGGTTTCTCATGATGCAGACGGCGGTCAGGGTGCTCCAGAACTTTCCAGTGACCACCGCCCAGACTTCCATGCATCTACTGGGCCTCCTGGCCACCTGCACTTATGTAGTGCAACACGCCAGACTGCGCATGCGCCCGCTACAGATGTGGCTATTGCGAGTCCACAACCCGGTCGTCCACTCTTGAGACAGGGTGCTGACAGTCCCTGACCTCAACCTCCTTGCATTGGAATGGTGGACCCACCAGGTGGAGGTCGGTGCAGGGGTTCCATTCTTCAGACCAGTGCCGTCCATCCAACTGGTCACTGATGCGTCGGACACGGGCTAGGGATCTCACCTAGGAGATCTCCACATGCAAGGTTTCTGGTCTGCGGACGAAACCTCCCTGCATATCAATGTCAGGGAGCTCCGGGCAGCCCGATTGGCTTGTGTGGTTTTCCTTCCCCACCTGAAGGGCAAGTTTGTCCTCTTTCTGTCGGACAACACAACAGCGGTGGAGTACATAAACAAGCAGGGCGGGGCAAGTTCCACTCACCTGTGCTTGGAGGCGATCCCCCTGTGGGACCTCTGCATCAGAGCAGACATCAACCCGATGGCCTTCTATTTCCCAGGTTCCCAGAACGTCCTGGCAGACAGGCTGAGCAGATTGTTTGTGGGCCATGAGTGGTGCCTGCTCTAGGATATAGCCAATACCATCTTCCGCGTGTGGGGGTTTCCCGACCTGGGCCTGTTTGCCAGGGGCAGAACAAGAAGTGCCCACATTTCAGCTCCCTCATGAGTCAGGGGCTGGGTTCCTTAGGGAATGCTCTCCTCCTCCCCTTGCCGTGAGGCCTGTTGTATGCCTTCCTGCCTTTTCCGCTAGTTCACAAGGTCTTCCTGAAAGTGTGGGAGTTCAGGACGTCCCTGATTATAATCTCCCCGGTATGGCCCAGGCAATATTTGTTCTTGACCCTCATCAGCCTCTCCTGCGAGAGGCCCGTATCCCTCTCACTGGTCCCAGACCTGATATCCCAGGACTCAGGCAGGCTCTGCCACCCGGACCTGCAATCTCTGCTCCTAACAGCATGGAAGCTCCGTGGTTAATGACAAAGGAGCGCCACTGCTCTGAACGGGTTCAGGAGGACCTCCTGGGTAGCAGAAAAACCTCTACCAGGGCCATGTATCTGGCTAAGTGGAAGTGGTTCTGCTGTTGGAGTTCCCAGAAGGGGGTGCACCCAAGGTGAGTTCCAACCCTCCTGATCCTAGATTACCTGTTGGACCTTAGGCTCCAGCATATTTCTTCCTCCTGCATCCAGGTTCACCTGGCAGCTATCTTGGCCTTCCACCTGGTGGAGGGGGGAAAAACCCTATTTGCCAATCCAGTGGTCAACAAGTTCCTGAAAGGCCTGGACAGGCTCTATCCCCACGTCCGCCTGCCTGTTCCCCAGTGGGACCTAAACTTGGTTTTCTCCAAACTTATGAGGCCCCCATTCAAACCGTTAGCAACGTGCTCCCTCCTCCACGTTTCTTATAAGGTGGCTCTCCTGGTGGCGATCATTTCCCCCAGGTGGGTATCTGAGCTTAGGGCACTCACATCAGATCCCCCCTACACAATAATTTTTAAGGATAAGGTTCAGCTCCGCCTTCAACCCGGCTTTCCTGCCGAATGTGGTGTCATCCTTCCACACCTCCCAGAACATCTTCCTACCGGGTTTTTACCCTAACCCACATGCATCTGGGAAAGAGCAGGCTTTACACACTCTAGACGTCCGTAGGGCACTAGCCTTTTATTTAAACAGGACAAACCATTCCAGAGGTTGCCACAACTTTTTGTGACTATCACAGAGCACATGAGGGGCCAACTCGTGTCCACTCAGCAGATAGCCTCTTGGATAACTGCCTGAATCAGGGAGTGCTACACCCTGGTGGGCGTTTCAGCTCCGCCCCTTAGAGCACACTCCACGAGGGCAGTGGCCGTCTCCACTGCTTTCGTAGCGCAGGTTCCCATCCTGGACATCGGCAGAGCTGCCACATGGTCCTCCATCCATATGTTTGCCAACCACTATGCACTGTCACATCAGGCCAGAGGGGACGCTGCCCTGGGTAGGGCGGTCCTCCACGCATCTGTAGTTTCATCATCCAACCCACCTCTTTAGGTTCTGCTTTGGAGTCACCTATATTGGAACGCACATGAACAATCACTCGAAGAAGATAGAACGGTTACTTACCTCATAACTGTGATTCTTTGAGATGTGTTGCTCATGTCCATTCCAAATCCCCATCCACCACCCTTTATCGGGAGTATGCTGGTAAGAAGGAACTAAGTGGATGAGGGGGCCAGCAGGGATATATATGGGCCGGTATACTGGCACCACTCCAAGGGGCTCCCTGCGGGCCCTAAGGGTACTGCTGAGGGAAAAACTTCTGATGGCACCTGCACACATCTATATTGGAATGGACATGAGCAACACATCTCGAAGAATCAGTTACGAGGTAAGTAGTCATTCTTTATAGAGCTGATATTCAATCAGTGGGGGATTCACACAACAGACGTCTTTGTCATCTAGGATTGCACCAGATATCTGAACTTTTTACTTCAGAAAGCCATTGGCTGCCAGATGCTTTGCTTTTACAGTGGATTCAAGGCTTTTTATATGCTTTTCCCGATATCTCTGATCCACAGCATAATAGTGAAGATCAGATGGGACAAAAGCACACTGAACCTCATAGCTCGACAGACCTGATGCAGATATCTGTTTGGCCCCCTTCCACCTCCCAGTCTTTTTGGACATATATCCCAGAGTTGCAATCATATACTGCATCCAGCGTTGCAGTCATTGCACTTAACAGCTTGTCTGTTCCTGGTAGGTCTAGGGAATTCTCATAAGAAGGGACATCCCCAAGCAAGTTCTCTTGGAAATGAAAGTAGTTCTCCATCTTGGTTCTCCATCTCACTCAATCTACAGATGTGGGAGACCTGTATGCTGCCCTGGCATTCAGCACTCTTGAGGCCCATCCAGCCAGCAACAATGTCACTTTTCTACTCTGTGGTTCAGTCATGTTCTTTGTTATCTCACCCAATGGTATCCAAGTTCCTCAAAATCCTTCTGCATATTTACTGTTTGATTAGGGATCTAACTCCCTCCTCTTCCTCCTACTAAAGCACATGGTGCTTCCTTTTGAATTGCTGTCTTACCCTTATGACTTTTTTCTGATTATCATTACCTTGGCAAAGAGGATCAGAGAGCTCCAGGCCCTCCAGGTCAGACTTTTCTATATGTGCTTTCACAGAAATGAAGTTGTACATTGTCTGCATGCCAGGTTCATCGTTAAGGTGGCCTCAGAATCCCACGTAAACCATTGAATCAAGCTGCGTAGCTCTTTTTTGTATAGGTCTGGATGCAAGAAGAAAAGAAGTTATGTATTCTGTCCATATCCAGAGGGTTACTTTATGAATCAAAAAGAACTAAACCTTTTATACTATCCCTTTGTCTTTTTGTAGTTTTATGTAGCCCTTTAAAAGGCCAGGCCATCTTATCACAAAGAATCTTCAAGTAGATCATATAATATATTCCCATTTGTTATCGGATGTCTTATGAACTACTTCCACCAAATGTTAAAACTCGTTCTACCAGAGCACAGGCAATGTTTTCTGCCTGTTTGAGGGATGCATCAATATCTTGTGAAGCTACCCCATAACCTTAGTCAGATATTATGTCCCTAACTAAGCATTTAGATCAGATGCAAAGTTTGGGAGAGCAATGCTTCAGTCACTATATGACTAATGCAACTGAAACTCCTTATTGCTATCATTCTGTGAGGATACTGATTGCCAGTCACCTACAGTGGGATACATACTGAAACAGTCAAATAAGAAAGAATGGATAATTAACCTTTAATAACTATGGTTATACTGGGCAGATACTACAATGTTTTTAATTTGTTTGCCAATGTGAAGTACTATTTTTAAGAAAGCTGTATTTATTATACTTAGAGGAAAATAAAATAATGTTTTGTTTCAGTTAGAGGGAACATTTCATATCTAATTCAAAGTCCTCTCCATTTGAAACTGAAATATTATAATTGGTACTTCCATTAACTGGAACTGCTGTGGTATTAGTATAACACAGGAAGAGACACAATTGCTCCAGTAGCTAGATTGCAAACCAGTCAGGATTTATATGCCAAACCCAACACCTTAAACTTCACTTAGAAACAAACATGAATCCAGAACTAAGGTAGGTGTGTGTGTGTGTGTGTGTGTGTGTGTGTGTGTGTGTGTGTTTTTTTTGTGTTTCTTTAACATAAAATAAAAAGGTTTTCCTGATGTCATCACGCTCTCTGGCCACAAAAGTGTAGCATAGTGAGCATAGCATGCAGCTTGCTCGTATTTTTTTTAATAAACAGGCAGTTAGCTTCATTCCGCCCTAGCTTAATTTTTCTGAATGGTCGCAAGGCATAGTCCCAAGTACACTGCAGTAGTCTGACTTCAGGCAACAAATTCTTGAGCAGTGCACATCAAAGGAAAAGGTCAAAAGAGCTCAAAGAGATCAACGCAAACTTGGTTAATGCTTTTACCTCCTCATCCTGCAACAGTCTATTATTAAAAAACAACCCCAACGTAACAGTACCTAAGAGAGAAGCAGCAAGTATACCCTTCACGATCAAGTAAGAGGACATCAATTGTCTTCTCTGCCTCTCTCTCTTTTTTTTTCCTGGCTGTACAAAGACTACCCTCAGCCTTTTCTACATTAAGCTTCAAGTCTCAGGCCTTGTCTACACTACTGGGGTAAGTTGACCTAAACTACAATATTCCAGCTATGTGAATAATGTAGCTGGAAATGACATAGCTTAGGTTGACTTACTTGTCATTCAAGTACAACTCCCTAAAGCCACTGATATTAAACAGATGCATTAGCAAAATATCCAGCCCCCAATTCGTAGAGATAATTGTAGTAATTGACATTCTTTGAGCTGTTGCAATCGATGTGGATCCCACAGTAGGTGCATGTTTATCTTGTGTGCAAAATAGGGATGTAAATTATCAGTTAACCTAATGTTTAACCTGTTAACTAATTAACGTAAACTTTAACCAGTTTACTGACAAAAGCAGGAATCTGGGTTAGGGACAGAAAAATAAGAAATTTTGAACCTTTCACATAAAGATTGCTGAAATAGAACTTAATTCCTTGTTTCTTCCATATATTACAAAGTACCGAAGAATCCAGGTGACAAACGGTCTGGGAAACAAGAAACGTCACCAGTGGCACCTAGAGCAGGAATTCAGCAGAAGATGCAGCAACAACATAAAATAAACCAAGCATTACAGGTCCCTGCTGTGTCCCTCTATCCCTCTCGCAAGAAAGTACCAGTTAAAGACCTCCCACCATTTGGTAAGTACAATGTGAGGGTGGGAGTGGTTTGTTATGTGTTTATATTAATAATCTTTCTGTATGTATAGTTCAAGTGTATGTACTGTATTTAGTTCAAGTTGTGATCCAGTTCTCTGTCTGTCAATTTAAATAGCATATCTAAATTCTCTACCTGCAGATGGTCAGGAGAAAACTTATCCTAGTAAAACGTCTGGGTGGCTTATCCATCTCAGTAGTAGACCTATTTCCATCAGGCAGAAGCTTCTCTTCTAGCTGATGCACTAGATTTGGGGATTAAGTTTTCAAAAGCCATTAGTGATGGGTGCCTCCATTTTTCAGTGACCAATCTGAGCTATCATAAAGGGGCCTGATTTTTCAAAGCGTTTGTGCATCTGCTCTCCAAAAATCCAGCCTGTTCAAGGTATCTTAAATTGGGTACTCACAATCAATATTTGCTTTTGAAAATGTGATACGTCATTTAGAGCGGTTGCGTTGCTAAACATGTTCTCTTAAAGTGGTATTAGTACCTCAAAGAAGAAAATATTTAATTTTTACAGTGTCCCTATAATACAATGTAAAATTAACAGGTATTTGTATTTTCAGCTTCATCCAAACATACATTTGTTTATTCTTCCTTAAAGGTATTAACTCCCCACAAGCGTTAAAGAAAATTCTTTCATTGTCTGAAGAGGGGATTTTGGACCGTCATAAGAAGCAAGCTGAAGACACAATATCAAATGCATCTTCACAGTTGTCTTCTCCTCCCACTTCACCGCAGACCTCTCCAAGAAAAGGTATAATCTGTGCAATTCTTCTCATTCTTTTCCTGAAACCCACAGTTTACCAGGTGATCTGGTAAACTAACTGCTTGTCTAAATGAACAAATCAGTGCATGGCAAGCTAGAGTATAAATCTACAGCACATTAGCTGTGTTCATGTGGATTTTGCTACCAAATTAAAAGTTCACTAGTGCACACTAATCTACATGGGTTTGAAAGTCGAGTAAGTGCACTTTCTGTGTGTGGTAGTATGATCCACACAGACATCTAACTCAGATTAGCAGGCTGTATTTACACCCCAGCTTGACTCTTGCTACCTAAGTGTGAAATCCTTTCATTATTATGCTGCCACATTAGGATTGACAGGAGAGGGGAGAAGTGATGCCCAAGCAGATGCCTCAAGAGCCATCCTGTTATCACAAGGCAGGGTGATTAGAATATCCTGGAGCCATCGTGCTAAGCAACTCTCCTTACTGCTACTTAAGACAAACAGTTGCCTTCTACCATAGGCAGCATACATGAGCAGAAGTTTGGAGTGACAGTAGCACACTGCAGAACCACTGGGTATATTAACCCAGCCTTCTGCACATTAAAATCATACCGACCTTCTGTGCAATTGTTCTAGATGAGGAGGGACCGAAGCAAGATGAAAAAACTAGAGTGTTCAAGCCTCCGTTCACTAACACATTACATTTCCTTTATGTTGCCATCTTAGTCTTCCCAAGAATCAAGCTGGACATTTGACAAATGGCTTTGCATAATGAAACTTTCTTGGCTGAGATGGTTTCTGTGAAATTATTTAAAATTATCTTAAAATATATTAGTAGAGATCACTGTCAAATGTGACCAGCCAAAACTGCAAATGAGTTTAAACAAGATGATTTAAGACACCTGATGAATTTCTGTCCTGTTTCCTTTTTTTCATTGTACTGGCTTTGATTATAAATTATGAGGAAAAAAAGATAAAGTGGAGACTCTTGCTTTTCTTGTATAAAAAAATATAGAAATGGAATAGTATATTCCTATAGCGGGTAATATCAAGCTCATTTTCTCATAAATAACATAGAAATCAATTTTAATGACTGCATGAGAGAAAGTTGAATATAAAAAAATCTATGCTAGAGTTGACCGCCACACAGTAGGAGCGCACATTTTTGATAGAGCTTGGATGGTTTTAGAATTCACTATAGTAATAACATCCACCAAAATAGCACTGTGATGCCGAGAAATTGAAACTCGTGTGCATTGCATATGAGTATCACTCTCTCTCTCTCCTGTTTCTGACAAATGGATATCTAAACTCTTTTCTCATCCTGTTGCTAGGTGCCAGTGGCAATCAGCTGAGATCTTATGGCTCCAGACAGTCGGATCTAACCAGTTCCTCCTCTTCTCTTGGAAGTGAGAACAGTAACAAGAATAACAATGCACCATGGACCTATAGGATAGGTGGGATTAACAAAGCCAAAAAGAAAAAGATCATAAGAACAATTGGCTGAGTGCTTTAAAAGGGATGGGGGTCTGATCTGTCCCTCAAAAGTACAAATATATGTCCAAAAGCTCTGCTGTAGTGAATTTTTCGAAGGGTGAGAAGGAGGAGGATCTTGTGCAGAAAAGGCTTTGATAATCAGCTTGAGTTTCTTTAAGATCTCAGCATTATTTTATCTTAAAAGCTTTAGCAGGGTGTGAATTTATATGAATTTGATCAAGGCCAGTGCATTGATTGAAAAAAGAATTGGGATCAGATATATGGAGAAGAATTGAAATTCTGTGTTTTTGGAAGAGCAATACATAAAAATGGTTCTAAGTTTCAAAGCATTTCCAAGATTTAGTGGCACCAGGAACTAATCTTACATTTTCTCTTTAAACTTTAATCAGCTTTGACAGTGTTAGGGACAGAACCTCAGTTAGCATAAACTGTGTAGTTCCACTGAAATCTCTTTGAAGCTTAATGTTGAATTGCAAACCCAAAATAAAAATTTCATGCTTGTGGATGAATGACCTATATTATATATCTTTCTTTTTTCCTGTGTTCTCTGAAGCTCTGTTACAACTTACTGGTTCCCTAACCATATCCTAAATCTGACAAAAGACAGTCCAAAAATCTCATTATAATAGTACAGTGGGATATTGTCAGTGAACCAGATGCCACCCAAGAAAATTCAAAAGAGAATTTTAAAAAGTTGTGAAAGGTGACTGAATAAACCGATTCAGTTTTGAAGGCTCTTCGGAGTCTGGATAGTGGGGAGCATTCAGCACAGAGGTCTGTGTTTAATGCAGTTTTTTTTCCCCCTGGAGTGTGCCCCTAAAGTGTAGCTTTATGTAGCATAAAGTTGTATATAAGAGAGCTGTTTGTGTGTGCGATATATTTAAATGTTTATTACAGTTACAAGATCATGGACTGCTCCTCTGTTTTACTCTTTCATTTGCCATGCACATATTTGAACTTTTATACTTGAACCATTTTTGAATTATCTTTCCATAAAGTAGTGATTGGATTTTTTTAAAGCATAAACAGTGTGTTTTCTCTCATGCTCAGGGAATAAAAAATGACTGACTGGATTTTGTTCACTTTTCTAAATAACTCATTTCATAATAAACTATCTATGTTTACACTATCATTTATGCCAGTATCTCTCTCATCAGCGTAGAGCGACTTGGGTGCAGCTGCGCTTCTGTAGCCATAGTCTAGAAAATGTTAACTGCCTGAAAACAAAGGAGTAGATGTCAGTTTCAGCTGACAAATCTCACATGCAGTTCTATAATCAAGGCCCAGATTTGCAAGGCAATCAGTCCTTTACATGCAAAATGAATTGACTGCTATGTTCTATGCTATCATGCAAACAACCCCACTACCAAAGTATTCTTCACTCTTGGCAAAAAACATAGAGACAAAATGAGAGAGCATGCTAAAGTAAGTGACTTTGTCTTAGAGGAAATGACTCTTGTAACACCTCACGTAAGTGGAACATATATTGGAAACCTTTTTGGATAAGATGGTGAAGGTTGTATGAATAATATATTGGAGTGTATGAATAAGGAATTGGCATACTATCAAACTTAATACATATGGTCCTGTATTTTGTCTGTCAGTGATCAGTACCAAAAGTGTCAGAGGAAGCTTTAAAAAACCAGCACTAGGTACAATAAGTAGGTCCCATCCTGATCTCTGTTAGAGATTGGTTTAAACCCTGAAGTATGTGGCTTAATATCCCATCCAAAATTTCTGTTATCTTAACTACTGTAACTCTGGATATTTTTATACAAGAAATGTTGATTTCCTTTTTAATTCTTGCTACTTTCTATACCTCAGTTCCTATGGCAATGAGTTCCACATGCAAGTTTCACACTGTATGAACAAGTATTTTGTATTATCAATTTTGAGTTTGCCACCTTTTAATTTTTCCAAATTTTTCTAAATACTTAATTCCATTGTGATATGAGACAGAGGGCAGAAGCTATACTCTGTTTTATCTATACTGTACACATATCCGTTGGAAATAATTTTAAACTGCAGAATTAGGTGTTCAATTGTTTACTTTCTGTCATCAACTAAAAGAAATCCCCAGTAACATTGTAAAAATGTCAAGTATCAGAGGGGTAGCCGTGTTAGTCTGAATCTGCAAAAGCGACGAGGAGTCCTGTGGCACCTTATAGACTAACTGAAGTGTAGGAGCATAAGCTTTCGTGGGCAAAGACCCACTTCGTCAGATGCATGCTGAGCTATAGTTCATCTTTAAGTTTGACACAATCAACTCTGAATGGTGGTGTTTCCTAAATACTTTGTTTTCACTTGCTTGTTTCCAAAACAAATACAGCCAGTGGTGGAGAAAATAAACCAAATGTTAGAAAGGGACCAAGAGATGGGATGGAGAATAAGGAAAATACTAAAGCATTATTTAAATCAGTGTAAAATCCTCATCTAAAATATTGTGTTTTGTTCTGGTCATACTCCCCCCAAAAGGCTATGGAAGAATTATGGAAGGGGATTTAAACTGAAAAGATTAGGATTGGTTACCTCACAAATGAGATGAATAAGAAGGGATAGGATAAAAAATTACTGTTAGAGAGGTGATAGTAGAACTGGATCTTCTGTTCACCTTGTTTCATAATGTGAACTCGGAAGGTGGTAAATGCAAAACTGGTAAAATAAAATCCTTTTCTACAACTAGTTTGTGGAATGTAGTGCAGGTATATCTGAAGCCAAAAGCATAGCAGAATTTTTTTTTAAGGTAAGATATTTATATAGATAACAACATGTAAGTCCAGAGTTGTTATTGCAAATACTTAAAGGTATAGAAGGAAAATAACTCGTCATGCTTCAGGACTTCAGGCAAACTTTAAATATTGGGATGTTAGGAAGAACTGAGGGTGTAATGCAGAGTATTTTGCCCTTTTCCCTGAGTAGCCAATGTTGAGAAGAGATTCCTGGACTACATGGGCCACTGACCTCATCCAGCATGGCAGTTCCTATGTTCCAACCATCCCTCCTCCCATATTCTGTGTTAACATACATAGATGTAAACAGTACTGCAAGACTGGGTGTTAAATCCCATAAAAGGAAATGTTTTCATGTAATTCTAGAAGTGGGAAGTAATACATTTGTTGGTAATTTTGTGAAGAAGAGATCAAACTTTTACAAATACAAATATTTCATGTTGCCGCTGATCTTTAAACCTACGTTTAATACAGCCACATTTAAATGATGGTCCCATTGCATGCTTTTGTCGCATGCAGTGCTGCTCTTCTTGCTGAAATGTATCTGTAATTGTTTGCTCCAATAGTATTGATACTATCTATGCTAATGGTTGAAATTTTTTAAGAAGTCATTTTGTTGTAAATTTTTAGAATATGTATTTAATGTTGTTCTGTTCTGTATGCAGGTTATACTTTGGCTCCTAGTGGCACAGTGGATAACTTTTCAGATTCTGGTCACAGCGAAATTTCTTCCAGATCTAGTATTGTCAGCAATTCTTCATTTGACTCCATGCCAGTCTCACTGCATGATGAGAGGAGACAGAGGCATTCTGTCAGCATTGTGGAGACTAATCTTGGTGTGGGGAGAATTGATAGAAGACCCATGATTGAACCAGATCAATACAGTTTAGGGTAAGAATTTATGTATGTTTACATTAAAAGAAACCTCTGCATCTGTGTAGAAATTTTCCCACTTTTGTGAGAGACTTGCTTTCTATCCTTTAGCTTACCTCCATTGTAGTGGGATAGTGTTGTAACAGGAAGTATTTTAAGTACAGTATTGTTCTTATTTTACAGATTGGTAGTGGGGGGACTTTCAACCAAATCCCATGTATGTCACATTGTCATCAATACCTTTTAGTAAGGACTGAAGAGCTATGTTAAGATAGCCTTACAGAAAGAAATTTGCCAAGTCATTAATACAAATTACATTAAACTTTGAATATAGGGAAACTGTGCTGTAGAAACAATGAGAACTTCTATGGTACCTTATAGACAATCAGATTTATTGGAGCATAAACTTTTGTGGGCAAAGACCCACTTTGTCAGATGCATATAGTGGAAATTCCAGAGGCAGGTATAAATATACAAGCACATGAAAAGAAAGGAGTACCAATCAAGAGGAAGGCCAGAGATGACGAGGTCAATTCAGTCAGGGAGGATGTGGCCCACTTCTAGCAGCTGATGTGGAAGTGTGAACACTAAGAGAGGAGAAACTGCTTTTATAGTTGGCTAGCCATTCAATGTAGTGATTTATAGTGAATGGCTAGCCAGCTACAAAAGCAGTGTCTCTTCTCTTGGTGTCCACACTTCCATATCAGCTTCTAGAAGTGGGCCGCATCCTCCACTACGTGCACCTGATGAAGTGGATCTTTGCCCACAAAAGCTTATGCTCCAATAAATCTGTTAGTCTATAAAGTGTCACAGGACTTCTCATTTTTGCAGAGTCAGACTAACCTGGCTACCCCTCTGATATGCTGTAGATGATACTTGTGTCCTCTGTGGTTTTCATTAACTATCATTTGTTTGTAAAGTAATGAATTGCTTTAGATTTCTGACACTGATTTACTGATTGTCACTGATTATGCCATTGCCAAATTTCTCTTCCTTTCTAATTTACATATAGATCATATGCACCGCTGTCAGAGAACAGAGGCCTGTATGCTGGAGCAACAGTGCTTTCTTCTCCCAGTACAGAGGAGCTATCACAGGATCAGGGGGATCGCACTTCACTTGATGCTGCAGACAGTGGCCGTGGCAGCTGGACTTCTTGCTCAAGCGGTTCTCATGACAACATACAGACAATACAGCACCAGAGAAGCTGGGAGACTCTTCCTTTTGGACATATTCATTTCGATAGTTCAGGCGATGGGGCAGGATTGTGGGCCTCAGGCAGTCATATGGACCAGATGATGTTCCCTGATCATGGCACAAAATATGGCAGGCAGAGTCAAGGTAGGGAGGGCCTTGATCAAGCACAGTCCAGAGCAAGCTGGGCATCCTCAACAGGCTACTGGGGAGAGGACTCAGAAGGTGATACTGGTACCATAAAGCGGAGGGGTGGGAAGGATGTTTCAATGGAAGCTGAAACCAGTAGCATAACATCTGTAACAGCAGAGGAGTCAAAGCCAGCTCCCATGCCCTCTCATATAGCTGTATCATCAAGTAGTGCAAAGGGGCTTATTGGTAAGTTGTATTTTTTTACCGGAAAGTATCCTATTAATTTACATATAGATATGAATTCACTATTTAAGTATTTTGCTTTAATCTGATTTGTTTTTAAAGCAAAAAGCACAAGTAGTTTCTCTCAAATTTTGCTCTTGAGTTGCATGTTTACTGCTGAGGAAAGCATCACTTTATAGATTCTCATTCATGAGTTATGTGGCCTCTTGTACTTCCATCTCAAAAGCCGTAAAATCAAGAAAATGATTCTGGTCTTGGAGATTGGTATTTTGAGATGATAATATACTTAGGTCACCGTTTTCAAACTCAGGTGACTGAAATAAGGCACCAAAGTATCAAAGTGTTGGAAGAGACCTCAGGAGATCATCAAGTTCAACCCCCTGCATAAAGCAGGACCAATCCCAACTAAATCATCCCAGGCAGGGCTTTGTCAAACTGGGACTTAAAAACATCTAAAGATGGAGATTCCACCACGTCCCTATGTAACCAGTTCTAGTGTTCGACCTCTCTCCTAATAAAATGGTTTTTCCTAATATCCAACCTAGACTTCCTCCACTGCATCTTGAGACCATTGCTCCTCATTCTGCCATCTGTCACTATTGAGAACAGCCTGCCTCCATCATCTTTGGAAAACCCCTTCAGGTAGTTAAAGGTGGCTATCAAATCCCCCCTCGCTCTTCTGTTCTGTGGACTAAACAAGCCCAGATCCCTCAGTCTCTCTTCGTAGATCATGTGCTCCAGCTCCCAATCATTTTTGTTGCTCTCCACTGTACTTTCTCCAAAGTATCCACATCCTTTCTGTAGTGGGGGCCCCAGAACTGGACACAATACTCCAGAGGAAAACTGATACATTACTCCAGAGGTGGCCTCACAAGTGCCGAATAAAGGGAAATAATCAGATCTGCTGGAAATGCTCCTCCTAATGCACCCTAATATGCCATTAGCCTTCTTGGCTACAAGGGCACACTGTTGACTCATATCCAGCTCTCATTCACTGTAATCCTCAGGTCCTTTTCTGCCAAACTACTGCTTAGCCAATCGGTCACCAGCCTGCTACAGTGCTTGGGGTTCTTCCATTCCAAGTGCAGAGCTCTGAATTTATCTTTTTTGAACCTCATCAGATTTCTTTTACGACAATGCATTTATCTTTTTTGAACCTCATCAGGTTTCTTTTGGCCCAATCCTGCACTTTGTCTAGGTCACGCTAGACTCTATCCCTAACCTCCAATTTATCTACCTCTTCCTCTAGATTAGTGTCATCCACAAACTTGTTGAGGGTGCAATCCATCCCCTCATCCAGGTCATTAATAAAATAAAGATGTTGAACAAAAGTGGTCCTAAAACTGACTCCTGGGGCACTCCACTTGATACCAACCATTTCTAAATAGTTCTTAACATCGAGCTGTTGATCACTACCCATCGAACCCGACAATGTAGCCAGCTGTCTGTCCGCCTTACAGTCCATTTATTCAATCCATACTTCCTTAACTTGCTGGCAAGAATGCTGTGGGAGACCTTGACCTCTAAAGTCAAGGTATGTCCACTACCTTTGCCATGTCCACAGACCCAGTTACCTTGTCATAGAATACAGTCAGGATGATCAGGCCTGACTTGCCCTTGGTGAATCAATGTTGACTATTCCTGATCACTCTCCTCTCTTCCAAGTGCTTAAAAATGGATTTTTTGAGGATCCATTCCTTGATTTTTCTTCCCTTTTTTAAAGACTGGCACTACATTTGTCTTTTTCCAATTGTCCAGGATCTCCCCTGACCGCCACAAGTTTTCAGAGATAATGGGTAAGGGGTCTACAATGACATCTGCCAACTTCCTTAGCACCCTTGGATGCATTAAATTCAGCCCCATGGAGTAAGGGGTCTACAATGACATCTGCCAACTTCCTTAGCACCCTTGGATGCATTAAATTCAGCCCCATGGATTTGTGTATGTCCAACTTTTCTAAATAGTTCTTAACCTGTTCTTTCTCCACTGAGGGTTTCCCACTTTCTTCCCCTACTGTGTTGCCTAGTGCAGTACCTTGAGAGCTGACCTTGTCTGTGAAGACAGAAGCAAAAAAAGCAGCTTTTTCCACTTGATGTATCATTAGATTACCTCCCGCATCCAGTAATGATCCCAACCTTTCCTTACCCGCTGTTATTGCTAATATGCTTGTAGAAACCTTTCTTGTTACCCTTCACATTCCTTTCTATGCACTTTGGCCTTCCTAATTATACCCCTGCATGCTCAAGAAGAATACAGGCAGTCCCCGACTTATGCGGATCCGACTTATGTCGGATCCGCGGTTACAAACGCGGCTTTTCTCGCCCCGGAGGACACGGACTGCGGTACCTCGCGGTCCCGCCGCCCGTGTACTCTGGGGCAAGAAAAGCTGCTCTGCGTCTCCCTGGTCCGCGGATCAGTTTCAGCAGCGGCTGATGCCAGTTCCGACTTACATACAGATTCAACTTAAGAACAAACCTACAGTCCCTATCTTGTACGTAACCCGGGGACTGCCTGTATTTATACTCCTCCCTAGTCATCGGTCCATGTTTCCACTTCAATTCAGCATCAATGGAGACTTGCTTCTGTATGATTATTATCCATGCACAGCTCTTCTCTCAGAAGCAGTATAAATGATCTTACCATGGATATATCAATTTAATTCTATATTGATCCTATGTAGGCAATCAATCACTGTGATCAAGAACAGCAGCAGCTGTATAACTATGTCGGGGGGTGGGGAGGAGGGATGTGAGTGGGGTTGAAAATAAGGAGACAGATGGAGGTATGGTGAAGTGAGGTCAACCTGCTAATTTAGTGGCAGCTTGTCAGAGTTCATCTTTAAAATTTCTTCCACGCACCCGCTTCACAAATCCCATTTGGAAAAGAGCCACTATCCAAGCATAATTGTTCATCCTTGTGTTATAGATTAGTACCTATGGTAGGACCATTTTTCTTCCTATTCGTAATGTCATTAGGCACCATCAGCACATGGTAGAACGGACTTGGTATATTAGTAGATTCCTATTTTAACATGGTGGATTTCACACTGTATAATATTGAGACAGCTCTTTCTAGGAGATTTACCATCCTCTCAGCTATAAGAAAAAAGAAACTATGCATTATCCATTCATATAAATAGGAAGATGTAACAGATCTGTTCTGTCATACTTCATAAATGCATTGGCTGCATGTTTGTTAACATTTCTAGAAACTCTAGATGTAGTCTCAAAAACACCATACTGTAATAGTTCATGCTGTGCATCTGGTGTTCTATACCAGAGGATTAGAAGCTCTTTTTCAATATATGTGCATTTCATTTGTCCTCTGTGTTGACAGTTTGACCAATCCTGAACAAACATATGATGCTATCCTTTCCCTAAAGGGTTGAATTATCTACAGATAGGAAATTGATGGATAATATCCTGTGACTAACACAGATTCAATACTACAAACATAGTCCTCATTTTAAAAAGGTTTAATAGTAGAAGTGTGAATTGTGACAAAATATCAGTGAAAGATATTTCCATTATGGTTTTTCTTTTTCCATGTCATGAATGATTTTAGAAAGGTTTTGCTTTAAACATTAATTATTCTGTACTTACATTGTTGCTTGGCATTCGTGTAAATTTTACATTTTCAAAACACTGTGCAGACAGTAATCTACTAAAAGTCAGGGACTGATGTACCCAAGTATACCATTGCCTGCAAGAGGGAAGCACAGTCATGCTATATCTACTTTGTTTTACTAAAAGTGTTTCTTAAATTATTCCTATTTAAAGGTAGGTGTGTGTGTGTGTGTGTGTGTGTGTGTGTGTGTGTAAATAATATAAATCTTACTTAAATCTTAATCTGTTTGTAGTTGGATTAGGTCTTGGGTTGGTTCATATATATCTTTCTTGTTGCTCAAATTCTGTTTTGAGCATATTTTTCTGCAGTTACGATCTCTTACGGTAGCGTATTATTTTTCTGCAGCACGAAAAGAAGGTCGATATCGAGAACCACCTCCAACTCCTCCTGGCTATGTAGGAATACCTATTGCAGACTTTGCGGAAGGCATTTCCCATCCAACCAGAAAACCTCCAGATTACAACGTAGCACTTCAGAGGTCTAGGATGGTGGCACGGACATGTGAAACCCAGGGGACTTCAACTTTGCCGCAGCAATCGCACAGTCATTCAGCTGGCAAGCCTGGTAACAAACCTCAGTGGCACAAACCAAATGAGTCAGACCCACGTCTTGCTCACTATCCATCTCAAGGGTTTTCCACAGAGGAAGATGGTAAATTTCTAGTAATGTTTTCAAAACATTAAGTAAAGGCTAGATTTAAACAATCCACAAGCACTTGCACATGCATTGGAAATTCTGGCACTAAATTTAATCATTTTCCATCTATGAATTTTAAAGGGGGGTTTACATTTTTGTTTCTAACTACTGTTTTATGGAAGAGAGTCTAAATATATTTTTTAAAATATTGATAGAAGTTTTGTGCAGTCTTTATTTACTTGACCTCTGTACCTGACCATACCAAGGAAATATTTTAAGCTTCATTAATTTTTCACAAATTTTCATGTGTCTGAGAGAATTTATGAATTTACTCTCATGCTTTGTTGTTTCCACCAGTGAACAAGGCTATAAGCCACTTTGGCCTCAGTAGTTTTAATTTAAATAAAAATGTTTGAAAATGAAGTGGTTTGTGGCCAACTACAACTAGAGCCAACCACAAGATACCTCACTGAGCTATTGAAGATGTAGTAGTTTCTGGCAGAATGTTGTGTTTTCCAGGTGAAGGAAAAGCCAAACCCACCCAAATATGGTACTATATTTAAAGCTGGCTTTCTTCATTTAAAATAACAAAACATGTTTTGAATGTATGATTCTGAGATCATTTTACCTTAAGGGAAAAGGGAAGGAAAAATAGTTACCCATAGCAAATAATTATATGCTTAATTTTTACAGAAGAATGAAATATGTGTGAACACAGCAAATTTATTTCATTCAATAGCAATTTAGTTTTAAACTGATGAATTTATTTCCTTCCCCCCCCCATTCTATTGTTTGCAGAAGATGAACAAGTCTCTGCCGTCTAAGAATTGGGGCTTTTCTGGATCCAGAGTGAGCCACCTTAAAGGAGAGCACAAGAAGACGTCCCTAGTATAGGAGCCTTGGAACTATAATTAAAGGATGGTAGACCTATTTGCCTCCTTCCCTGCCTTAAAGCAGCATGGGGCTTCTTCTCCCCTCCTTCCTCCCCCATTCCCCTTGCATGTGAAATACTGTGAAGAAATCGCCCTGGCACTTTTCAAACTGTGTTGCTTGAAATGCACAGTGCAGCAGTCTCCAAGCTACCACTGTCGCTGTCTGCCACATCACACAGTATCATTCCAAATTGCAAGATCATCACATCAAGATGATTAACTCTGGCTGCACTTCCCAATGCCTGGAAGGGTTTTTAAATCTTCCTTTTAGATTTTAATCACAATTCTAGCACTTTGTCTCGTTGGGATAATGAGATAAGCTAATTGTCAAACTACATTGAGCCTTTAAGTACAAAAGAGAAAAATACATTGAAATCTTCAAGTATACAATGCTTGTTTGCTTGTTTACAATGCCTTTGTTAGTGCTGTATGTTGTTGTGTTCAGAGAGCAAATGTTACACCTACATAATAATTACAGTATTATTCCATACTTTTTAGTAGGGTTGCCAGCCTGGGCTCCTAAAAACAAAACTGACATGGCTGAGCAGGGCAGAATGGAAGGCAGCAAGGGTTATGGCGTACAGCCTTTCATTGGCCACCTAGCTCTACTCTTAAATTGCCCCACCCTGGAGTCTTAGAAAGTTTGTAAATCATAGGATAACTGGTATTGTAAAATGAGTGTAGCATCAATGCAAAAGGAAGTGCTTGCAAAATGGAGGAAAACAGGACAACTTGTATTGTTTGTACAATACAATGTGTATACCTGTGCCTTGTGGAGTACAGGATGGCATAGTGTAAAAAAAAAGTCCTATTCAAATGAGACAGATGACAGACCCCACTTTTAAATTATATTTTTGTTTTACTGTGGTTAGAAGTTTAGTTACATTGAGAAAAATTAACTGGATAACATTGCAGTGAAGGCAATTTTGGGATGTCACAGCTAATGTCAGCTGTTATTACTGATCTAATCTCTTTATTGACGTGGCATTAGGAAATAAACAAGCCTTTAAATTATGAAAAAAACACCTTTAGATATGCCAGCCTTTGCGATGCAGAAATAGTCACAACTGTTAATGGCTTTACGGAACACTGCATGTGTAGAGAAGGCCAATGTGTAGCAACCACCTGCTCACAGCTGCTATAACCCTGTAATGACTGAAATGACCCTTCCCCTCTATTTTTGTGTTGTTTTTGCACAGACTCCGGAAAAGTGAAGGCTGCCAATCCGAGTAGTACTCAAATGTGAGGAACTGCTGGTCTTGGATTTTTTTTTTCCATTGAACTCAGCTGATCATATTGATCAGTAGATAAACGTAAATATCTTCAACTTCAAAGATCAAATCGCAGTGTTTTTTCACTGTATCAAACAATGTCAGTGCTTTATTTAATTATTCTCTCTCTTGTAATCATGGCTTTTGTCTATTTGCTTATATATCACATTGTCAATTATGAATTTGTAATTTACATGTAATATGCATTATTTGCCAGTTTTATTATATAGGCTATGGACCTCATGTGCATATAGAAAGACAGAAACCTAGCTCTATCACCAGTTGCACAAATATTATATACGCATTAAGTAATTGTAGACCATAGGACTGCTAATCTCAGTTCACTCTGTGATGTCAAGTGCAGAATGTACAATTAACTGGTTATTTCCTCATACTTTTGATACTACTTGTACCTGTATGTCTTTTAGAAAGACATTGGTGGAGTCTGTATCCCTTTTGTATTTTTAATACAATAATTGTACATATTGGTTATATTTTTGTTGAAAATGGTAGAAATGTACTATGTTTATGCTTCTACATCCAATTTGTATGAAGCTGAAAAATAAATAAATATAACATTAATGAAGTCAGTATTGATTCTTACCTATTTTACAGGTTCATCATATTTGAGCAAATTCAATTTTTAAAATTTACTTTGCTATCTATGAATATTAAAGGAATACTGTCAAGTAACAGGCTCAATACTGAAGGGGTGTTTTTTTTTTAAACCTATTGTTTTATTGCCAGTAAATTAGTTTGTCCATTACTAACCCAAAATGGCCATCAGAGGCATTAGAATGGCAAGTATTAAACTGACATCATTGCTGTTGAGGTCCAGACAAGAAGGGCTGAGTTGGCTGGATACACTGTAAGACTCATGGGGCAATGAATCTATATTTATAAAATTTGGTGCAGGGAGAAGTATGGAAAGAAATATTACCTTCTTAGAAACTTGAACCTATTATGGGTAATGAAAAGTACCTGAGAGTGCCCCTTTTAATGAAAGCCAGATGCTGTAATCTATATAACTAGCCAATTAGCCCGCCAAAAGACGGGGTTTTCAGGTCTTTCCTCCACTTGGGTCTTCTCTTCTGAGCCTCCGGTCTCTCTCTCTGTCTCTTCCACCTCCTCTCCCCTCTCAGCTCTACTCTGCCCTCTGCCTCTCTCTCCGTGTCTCTCTTTCTCTTCTCCCCCTCCTCCTGCCCCTCACTTTCTCTCTGCTCTCCTCTGTCTCCGTCAGGGATGCACACTCATCCAGGCCCCGCCCTCTGGGCGTGTATGCCGCCTCCCGCCGTGGCGCTCGGCTGACTTCTGCGCCGCTCAGCCAGGCCACCGTGTGGGAGCAAGCAGCCATTTGAGCCCCGCGTTCCCCATGCAGCACTCCCATGCTGCATGGGGAGTGTGGACCCCAAATGACCCCTTTGTGCTGCTTGCTCCCGTGCGGTGTCCCGTCTGAGTGGTGCAGAAGTCAGTCCAGTGCCACGGCGGGAGGCAACAGCGCTGCCCAGAGGGAACAGCCAGCATTTCAGCATTACAGAGTCACAGACATTGGGCTATATGATATGATGTCACAAGTGTTTGTTCTTTTGTGGATATTATGAACTCTAGCTATTGGGTACAGGAGACAAGTTTAAAAAAATTTTTCTTAGCCTATCCATTGGTTATATTTGGTTTGTATTTTTTTAAGAAAAAGTCTCCAGTATTGTTTACAAATGAAAGTTACTGTTTTAGAGAAGAGAGTCCTCCCGGGACGCAGCACCTGGCATGGTGCAGTACCATTGCCCGGCCCCTGCGGCACCTACCTCCGCACGGGACGCCCGTGCCACCATGCCTCCACCTCGGCACCACGGTAAGCCCGAATCCTTGGCCACACAGGCAGCAGCTTCTTCGGCGCCCACGTCGGCCCTGGCTTGGAGTATTCGTCCGACTCCGAGGCAGAGTCCACTTGGTCGTCGAGGGGCTCCCGATCCTGCTCTCGACACCAGTCTCGCTCCCGGCGTCGCAGTCCGTCCCATCTGTACCAACAACAGTGGGCGCAACCAGTCCCGATGCCGATGCTACAACAGACATGGCCTCCGCAAGCTCCGGTCCAGTGGCTGTTCTGGACGCACTGGGCATACCATCAACAAATACCTGTTTTCCCACTCTCCTCCAGGCTCTCTGGTGGTACAAGGAGTAAACCAGAGGGAGAGACAAGGTCAACCCGCCACCATCCCCAAGAATAGGGAGGCCAAGAAGGCTGACCTGCTGGGCAGGAAAGTCTACGCGTCCAGTGGCATCCAGTACTGTATCGCCAACCAGCAGGTCCTCTTGTCACGCTATGCCTTCGACACCTGGGTCTCCATGGACAAACTCACTGACTTGCTCCCCAGGGACTCTCGCTCGGACTTTAAAGCTCTCCACAAGGAGGGTAGAGTGATCTCCAGGGCAGCCCTCCAGGCAGCTCTCGACATGGCAAATGCCGCTGCCCGTGTGATGGCCACAGGTGTGGTCCTACACCATAGCTCCTGGCTGTCAGCCGAAATGGTCAGGGCAGCGTGTGTGTGTGTGTGTGTGTGTGTGTGTGTGTGTTACACCCAAGTCTTCAACTACTGAGACGCAAAGTCTCGTTGCAGTGGGCAGCCTAGGAGGCTGGAGGGTGCCCCGAAAAATAGTTTAACATCTGTGACTTTACTGCTAGGACCGGGGTCGCGTCACAGAGGGCAGCCAACAGGCTCTCAGACACCCCGGTGTGTGTGTGCGCTATACACCCGAGACTTCAACTGCTGAGACCAGGGTCCCCTTGCAGTGGGCAACCTGGAGGAGGTTGACGGGCGCCCCAATAAGTTTATAGGGAGAGCTTATAACACCTCAGATTTTAGCTGCTAGAATCCAAGAGGGGTGGACATCCACCCGATGGCCTCGTACCTCCCGGGTTCTCAAACTGTCCTAGTGGACAGGCTGAGCCGGACTTTTACAGGGCACAAATGGTCCCGAAGATGGGATGTGGCCCACTCCATTTTCTATGCATGGGGGGGGGGTCTCCCCATCTTGACCTGTTTGCCACGGGGAGAACAAGAAGTGCCCACAGTTCTGCTCCCTCATTGGACAGGGATGGGGGTTCTCCTCCCCTAGCCAGAGGGCCTGCTCTATGCCTTCCTGCCATTCCCACTCATTCACAGGAGTATAGGAGTTCAGGGCATCCCTGATCCTCATCGTCCCAGCATGGCCCAGACAGCACTGGTTCTCAACCCAGTCTGTCATGCGAGAGGCCTATGATACTCCCGCTGTCCCTGGACCTGATCTCTCAGGATTTGGGCAGACTCCACCACCCGGTCCTGCAGTTGCTACACCTGACAGTGTGGAAGCTCTGTGACTGATGACAGCGGAGCTTCAGTGCTCGGCCCAGGTCCAGGAAATCCTATTGGGTAGTAGAAAACCCTACACTAGGGCCACCTACCTCACCAAGTGGAAGCAGTTCTACATCTGGGTCTCCCATAAGGTGGTGTCCCCCAGGTGGGCGACAATCCCCATGATCTTGGATTACTTGTTGGACTTCAGGCTCCAGGGACTCTCCTCCTCCTCCATTAAAGTCCAGCTAGCGGCTATTTCGGCCTTCCATCCCAGAGGAGGGGGGGAAAACCCTGTTTGCAAACCCCATGGTTAACAGGTTTCTGAAAGGAATGGACAGACTCTACCATCATGTCCGTCAACATGTTCCCCAGTGGGACCTCAGCCTGGTTCTCTCCAAACTCATGGGGCCCCCGTTCGAGCCATTGGCAACATGTTCTCTACTGTACCTGTCCCACAAGGTGTCCCTCCTGGTAGCACTCACATCTGCCAGGCAGGTATCTGAACTCAGGCACTCACCACGGATCCCCCCTATACAGTGTTCTTCAAGGACAAGGTCAGGCTCCGCCCTCACCCTTCTTTTTTACCCAAGGTGGTGTCTGCCTTCCATGCCTTCCAAGATATTTTCTTAACAGTGTTTTGTCTCAAGCCCCGTGCATCAGGGAAAGAACAGGCTTTACACACTTTAGGTGTTAGGAGGGCTTTAGCCTTTTATTTAGATAGAACAAAACCATTTTGGAAATTGCCGCAACTCTTTGTGGCCATTGCAGAGTGTGTAAGGGGTCAACCTGTGTCCTCAGAGGATTTCCTCCTGTATTACCACCTGCATTAAGGAGTGCTATGCCCTGGCGAGGGTTCCAGCTCCTTCCCTTAGAGCGCACTCCACGAGGGCCGTGGCTGGCTTTCGCAGTGCAGGTCCCGATCCTGGACATGTGCCGGGCTGCCACATGGTCCTTGGTCCATGCTTTCGCTAATCATTATGTTCTGACGCACCAGGACAGGGAGGACATCCAGGACAGGGCGGTTCTCTATTCATCGGTAGCTTCGGCATCCGGCCCTCCTCCTCAGGTTCTGCTTTGGAGTCACCTACATGGAATGCACATGAGCATTCGCTCGAAGAAGAAAGAACAGTTACTTACCTCATAACTGTTGTTCTTCAAGATGTGTTGCTCATGTCCATTCCAAATCCCCGCCCATCACCCTTTCTCCGGAGTATTCTGGTAAGAAGGAACTGACTGGGTAGAGGACCAGCAGGGGTGTATATGGGCTGGTATACCGGCTCCACTCTGGGGAGAGGCTCCCCTGCTGTCCCGATGGGTACTGCTGAGGGAAAAATCTCCCGACGCGTGCACACTGCATGCGCACACTTACATGGAATGGACAAGAGCAACACATCTTGAAGAACAGCAGGTTACGAGGTAAGTAACCATTCTATTCTGCAAACATTTATTCTTAAGGAATACTAATCATGACAGACTTTTGATTGACAGTGATTTCCCCACCCCCACTCCCTGGTGTGGTGATGTGTGTGAGATTTATCTTCAAGTGAATCATTGTGCTACATCTTTGCCATACTGCTGCATAATGTGAATCCATTGCCCTCTTAACTTATGCTTTCCCTTCTATTTGCTGGCTCTAGGACAACCATTAGGAAGAAGCCATGTCAAAAGAGCAATGCGTATGTAAATTTGGCCCAAATCTGTTGCTGAGTTCTTTAAGGATGGCTTTTGATTATAGAAATCAAGAAATGAATTAGCTCTAACAAGATCAGAAACTCTGATGTACGGTGCATTCTTATAAAGGAGAATTAGTAAGTTGAATGTACTCCGTGGTATGGGTAAAGTGGCAGGATAAATCATATTTCACCCAAGAGAAAAACATTAGGTTGTGAGTTCTTTGAGGCAGGGAATAGCTTTTATATGTTTGTACGGTGCCTTGAATGGTGAAGTGCCACTCTTGATTTGAGATCTCTCTCTCTCCAAGACACCATTCTTCGTTTTCTGTAAGTAGGGTAAAGTTTAGGTAGTTTCGTTAGGTTTTATTGTTTTATGGATTGGGTATGGGATCTGAGATCTGGCACTGTTTAAAAAATGTTTTGGCTTTTCTTTGAAACTAAGTTCTAGGCCCATGGAGTTTCTCCATGAGTATATTTTGTTACCTCCCTATCTAGTCATTATGTTTGCAACAGGAATCTTGTTGTAATAATAAAAGCTCTTCCTTTTCTTTTTATTAACCTAGTAGTGGTTAATTGT